TAGACCCTAATTTATTCTTAATGTTTTTTGGGGGAGTAGTAGTTTAGGAACTTTGGAATATTTGCTCAGAGGTTTTCCAGGGGCTAACCTGGCTTCCGACATCCCTTGCTCCAAGCCTCATTTTACGCACCTAAGCCCTAAACCCTAAACCCTATAAACCCTAAAACCTAAACCCTATAAGCCCTAAACCCTAAACCCTATAAACCCTATAAAACCCCAACCCTCAACCCTCCATCGCTTTGTCAAGGTCTGTGGGAGGGCGCCTGCGCGCGAGGACGAGTCGGACCGCTACATGGAGCAGCTGAGGGTCACCTGGACATCTTCCAGCGGTTTAGGGTTTTAGGGTTTAGGGTTTAGGGTTTAGGGTTTAGGGGTTTTAGGGTTCAGTTAGGATTTAGTAAGGGTTTTGGGTGAAGGTGCGTGGGGCGTTGGGGCATGAGGGCCCTTGCATCCCCACCCCCTGTAGAAGCCCCAGTTCAAGGGCAAGAGAGAGGCACGAAATACTTGCCTAAGTACCTACTTCTTTACGAAGAGCCATTATCTGCCACCCTCAACCCTCAACCCTCAACCCTAAACCCTAAACCCTAAACCCTAAACCCCAAGGTTATCTGGAAATGCTGCAGCACGCGCCTCTGCGTCGGGTGCCACCAGGGCCTGGTGAGGTCATCGGCGCCTCGCTGCCCCAACTGTGGCAGCGACCGGTGCCTCGGCCGCCCAAAGTTCCCAAAGCCTGGAATCGTTTAGGGTTTAGGGCTAGGGTTTAGGGTTTAGGGTTTAGGGTTTAGGGTTTAGGGTTTAGGGTTTAGGGTTTAGGGTTTAGGGTTTAGGGTTTAGGGTTTAGGGTTTAGGGTTTAGGGTTTAGGGTTTAGGGTTTAGGGTTTCGGGTTTAGGGTTTAGGGTTTAGGGTTTAGGGTTTAGTGTTAGGGTTTAGGGTAGCCTTGAAGCCCTAAAACCCTCTAAGCTTGTTTGCCTCACACTTTAGAGCCTTGAGCCCCAAATCCAAACCCCCTCAACTCCTCAACTCTCAGCCATGAACAGAGCAGCCCGGACTCTAAACCCGGGTTTAGGGTTTAGGGTTTAGGGTTTAGGGTTTAGGGTTTAGGGTTTAGGGTTTAGGGCTAGGGTTTAGGGTTTAGGGTTTAGGGTTTAGGGTTTAGGGTTTAGGGTTTAGGGTTTCGGGTTTAGGGTTTAGGGTTTAGGGTTTAGGGTTTAGTGTTAGGGTTCAGGGTAGCCTTGAAGCCCTAAAACCCTCTAAGCTTGTTTGCCTCACACTTTAGAGCCTTGAGCCCCAAATCCAAACCCCCTCAACTCCTCAACTCTCAGCCATGAACAGAGCAGCCCGGACTCTAAACCCGGGTTTAGGGTTTAGGGTTTAGGGTTTAGGGTTTAGGGTTTAGGGTTTAGGGTTTAGGGTTTAGGGTTTAGGGTTTAGGGTTTAGGGTTTAGGGTTTAGGGTTTAGGGCTGCATCCTAAACCGGGCAATTATCTTAGCCCAATCTCCCAACATGCCTCGGGTTTTCTGGGTGAGTGAAGACACTCTTATCGGCACAGGACTCATGACTCTTGTCATACTTAGAGTTTTTTCTTTTCCATCCTCATGGCTAATCTTATTCTTAGTTGTGGCTATGACGATGACTATGGGGGGAGTCTGCAGGTGCAGCATCACAACAGGGAGCACGAACAAGGCTGGGGTCCAGGGTTTTGGGGGAACTGAGGGCCGGCTGGGGGGGGCTAAGTCTGGGTATAGAGGGACACTACAGGGTGTTTTCGGAAGGGTTCCATGGGTAGCAAAACGAAATGGCCCTTCTTCAAGGACCATCCCCGGTATCTCTTAAGCCAGGGTTTAGGTTTTAGGGATACATGGACGTTTAGCCTGGCAAGGGAGCCAGTCCAGCCTAGCATCGCATCCGACCTTGAGGCTTGCTCGCCACCTCTGCCAAAAGCGAGATAGCTATGAGGATCTTTAAGTTTTGACATCTTGGACAGCAGGCATAGGAGTCTTCGAGCCCGAGGAAAACCCTCTGAAACCCAAAATCCCCCCAAGGCTTCAGCAAACCTGAGTTGGCCTTTCAAAACATATTTGTATACCTGGGGCCCTCTTTACCTACAGTTTTTTATGGGTTACCCACAAGAAAAGGGGGCAGTTACTGCTAAACTGTAGGTATATAGGGTCCCAGGTAGGGTCCCTTGTAACTCTCAACCCTAAACCCTAAACCCTAAACCCTAAACCCTAAACCCTAAACCCTAAACCCTAACGTGGCAGTCTGTGGCCGCAGCCCTCGAGCCGGTGGGAAAGCTGCTGCCGCGGCCGTATCAGCTGCAGTGCCTGGAGGTCTTGAAGGCGGGTTTAGGGCTTAGGGTTTAGGGTTTAGGTTTAGGGCTTAAGGTTTAGGGTTTCGGGTTTGGGGTTTAGGGCTACTAGGACCCAGAGTAGGCCCTTCTTCGCTTTTTTGGGGGTTGTGGGTTCCCTTTATAAGCCCTTTGAGCCAAAAAGGGTGCCCCTTTTGTTCTAGGCTGCTCCGAATGTAGATGTATATTTCCCGACAGGGAGGCAAGTCCCTAGCTACAAGTAGAGTTGTATGGGCACTGAATTGGGTGTCGGCTTTCAATGGCCTAGAATCTGGCAAGGAGCGATCACAACACATGGGTATTAGGTTTAGGGTTTAGGGTTTGCCTCAACGAAATAGAATTCGCATTGTCAGCGGGGGGGCCCTACCGGTAGACATGACCCTAAACCCTAAGCCCTGAGCCCTAAAGGCCCGAAATCAATACTGAAACCCTAACGTCTTGAGAGAGAAGCATGGAACTGCGATCGCCACGCAATCCTAAACCCTAAAACTTCGGGAGGCTTTCAGACGGTTTAGGGCGTAGGATTCAGGGTCTAGAAGATGGGGTTTCGGATTACAAATTTTGGGTTTAGGGTTTGGGGTTTAGGGTTTAGGGTTCCGGGTTTAGGGGGTTAGGGTTTAGGGGTCTTTAGGGGACTAAGTCATCCTTCAGTGTCCCCCCAATGGCGTCTTGCCAGGCTTCGGGCTGTGAGTTAGCTGTTAGGGTGTGCAGGGCTTATGGCGTATGGCTTAGGCTTGAAGGTTCAGGGTTTAGGAGCTTTTGCTTTAGGGTTTAGGGTTCAGGGTTCAGGGGCTTAGGGTTTAGGGCTTAGGGCTTAGGGGGGACACCTTATGCCTTCACGAAGGTTTTCGGTTGCGATATCGGACGGCGTGGACATGAGTCCTGAGAGTTTAGGGGTTAGGGTTCAGGGTTCAGGGTTCAGGGTTCAGGGTTCAGGGTTCAGGGTTTAGGGTTTAGGGTTTAGGGTTTAGGGTTTAGGGTTTAGGGTTTAGGGTTACATGGACCCTGTACCTGAAAAGGCCGCACCCCCCAACCTTCGGCCACAAACTCTCGAAAGCGTTTTTGAGCTCTTAAGGGAGGGGGTCTCAAGCAGGCGTATGTAACCCAAGGTTCCCTAGCACTCCCCACTACTCCCTAAGGTACCTACCCCCGATAAGAATCCTATCAAGGCGCGCAACTCCATCATCTGCATGGGCACTGGGCTCGGGAAGACCTTAGTGGCAGTCCTGGCCATCGACCACTACCTTGAAGCCGAGAAAGACAAGATGGCGCCTCAACAGAAGGTTGCGGGTTGAGGGTTTTTAGTACCGGGGTTGCGAAACCTCCAGCTAAACCCTAAACGCTAAACCCTAAACCCTAAACCCTAAACCCTAAACCCTAAACCCTAAACCCTAAACCCTAAACCCTAAACCCTAAACCCTAAACCCTTTCCAGTTTTATCGGCCCGAATCCCTGCATAATGCACATGGCCACATCTATAATTCAGCGGAGCTTGTGTTCACCTCAGGGTCCCCAAGCCCGGCCAAGTTTAGGGGCAGTTGCACAGTGTTTAGGGTTTAGTCTGTGGGCATGCGCGGACTAAACCCTGAACCCTAGGATCGGCAGAGTTCTTCCGGGTGGAATCACACACCTCAGTCCTCTGGTGGCACCCTGTTGAAGCGCACTACGCCCTGGAGAACGAGGACTGCTGCTTCCCTTCGCTCCTCAAAGCCAAGCAGGCGCCCGAGCCGCGAAGCAAAGAAACAAAAGCAGCGACTCCGGCAGCGCTGCGGCCGCTCCTCTTCCGGGAGACTGGGAGACACTGGAGGAACCGGCGGCTCCTCTAAACCCTAAACCCTAAACCCTAAACCATGCTGTTTTTAGAGCATCGGGAACAATGATGGAAGTCCGACGTGCCAGTGCCCCCCGCCTTCCCCCATGGTCTACGTCTCTCCTAGACTAACCCCAAGCCCTAAACCCTAACGCGCAAACCCTAAGCCCTAAACCGTAACCCCTAAACCCTAATCCCTAAACCCTCAAGCCCTAAACCTTGAAACCAACCCACAACCACATCACAGGGAGGGAGAGGGGGGGGGAGCCCGCCGGGGCGCAGCCATATGAAACCCTAAACCCTGAACCCTAAACCCTAAACCCTAACCCCTAATCCCTAACCCCTAAACCCTAAACCCTAAACCCTAAACCCTAAAAGCCCTAACCCCAGGTGTGCTTCCTCGTCCCCACCAGAGCACTCTCGAGCCAGCAGGCAGAGCAGCTCGACCAACATCGTGGGTTTCAGGGCCCGGGTTTAGGGTTTAGGGTTTAGGGCTTAGGGCTTAGGGCTTAGGGCTTAGGGCTTAGGGACCAAGGTCCTTAACCAGGCCCGGGCCCTTTGCCCGTAGGAGGGCCGTAGGGCCCGTAAGGCCCGTAGAGCCCGCAAGGGCCGTACAGGCCGTCAGCCCGTAGGAGCCCGTAGGAGCCCGTAGGATCCCGCAGGAGCCCGCAGCCCGTAGGAAGGAATCTGCCGCAAGCCGTGCTGTGTCCCGCCCAGGCTCAAAGCCCGTACTTGATCCTAAATATGCTTTAGCTTGTCATGGTACCAATACAGAGATGAGATGCTCAACAAGCATTTCGCTTCGAAGATCTCGCATCATCTCATGTAGGTTAGTGAAGCCATGGAAGAGATCAGATATGACGGTGCCTGCAGCGTATGTGGGAGAAAGTTGAGCAAGAAAGAAACTGTCATCGCATCGGTGCTGGATGTGTGCGGCTGGCTCCAAGTGAAACATGACATCATGAGATGCCGGAATTTTGAATGTTCTTTGAACTGTGCCGCCGTGGCATACAACTTCGTATGCAGTGGCTCTGAGTACGTCTTTTCATGGGGGCAGGAGGAGTGCATGCAATATTTTTTTTTGACTTATGCCTTCGGGGTTTCTATACGCTGGCTGCGACAATTCAGTCGTCGTTTGATCTTCCAGTGGTCTTCCTTTGCGGGGGAAGCCAAAGTTCACTTTCTCGAAGCTGTTGGCTTGGGCAAGAGTGACATTGTGCCAGACAAGGCCAAGTTGAAGTTGCTTCGGGCGTGGATGCTGTGGCGTTTGGTTACTTGGCAGGTTTGGTATATTATATGTGATATGTTGTATAGTAGAAAATACTTGAGAAGCATTATATCAGATATATATATATATATAGAATCATAACAATCTAATTATAATCATAATGAGAACAGTCATAATCATAACAATAATAACAATAACAATAACAATAATAATAATAATAATAAACAGAATAATAATAATCATAATAATAATAATAATAAGCATCAGCTATAAAATATGTATTGAGTAAGACATATAATATAGTGTGTATATATAATGCAATTATATGCATATACATATATATACACATACATATATATATATATATAAATATGTAAATAAATAAATAAATAAATATATATATATATATATTTATATTATTTGTAGTTACACATATTTATATTTGCTCGCAGCCCTTCCCGGTTATGCTGGTTGCGCCGCGTGTGTCTGATCCCCACATGTTCGACCCAGTAGCACTTGTGGTGTCTTGCCCGGGCGCATCCCGTATGGGTTTTGGAGCTGCGTGCTGGGTGCCTCCATAAGGTTCAGTGTTGGTTCGCAGAACTGGAAGCCTTTAGCCTTCAGAAGAAGTAAGGTCATTCGATGGAGGCAACATGCGGCCAGAAAGGAGGGTGAAGTGCAAGTGCGTGTGAACCTACGGAAGCCACTGCCGACGCTGCTTGCAGAGGCGTGGGAGTGGTATCCTGCGCACATGTTGAAGAGAAGAGTGGACCTAGCTCGGTCGAAACAGCTGGACTTGAGCGCCGTCGTTATGGACGGCAACGCTAAGCTGTCAGGCAGGATATGCGGCCGTCCTGCGGCGGAAATCATCGACAACCGTTCGCTGGACATGTTCACCGTGACCTGTTGCAGCGCGGAGCCTCAGTTCAAGAAACGGCGTTGCATGAAACACGACACGAGCCATGCTCCAGCAGATCCGTTGCCCGAACAGTCTGAAGTCATTACTGCCCATCGTCGTGTTCGAAGAGCAGGACAAGGGGAACTGTATGATGTGTTTTTGAAAGTGAAGCTAGCTGTCTCAAGCGCTAGCGCCTCACGTGTGAGGCCCAAAGCCTCCAGCATGTTCGGTAAGAGTGGCACCCACGACACTCTCTGGAAGTCAGCTGGCAGCTCTATCGACTCTGCAAGCGGAGCATGGGGAGAAATTGGTCTTCCGAAAAGGAAAAGGATTCTTTCCATCGCTGCTACTTCATGGTTGCCAGTCTCTCCTTTCCTAACTTGGCGTGCACTGGTACAACGCCAGCCCTTTACTCAAGCCCTACACTGCCATCAAACCATGAAACTAATCCCTCTGCACACAAAACAGAAAAAACTTCCGCACACAAAAGAGGAAAAACTGCCACTCACCGGTCATCCTAGCTTCACCAAGCCAAGGAAAGGGCCAGAATGAATGTTGCCGACGCCAACCACGTTGCACGTGGCGCTGCGGGACTCGTAGCTCACGCCCGTCTTGCAGGTCATGCTGCTGTGACCTGTCTGCAGCAATGCGTTCCACTGCGAGGCACCATCCGAGGGTGCAGCTGCGTGCTCCTTGCCATGTCCTTTGCCTGTACCCAGTCCCAACATCTTCAGGAATCGGTAGCTTTCGTCCAAGGACAACAAAACACTGTAGTACAAACGATCGCCTTCTGCACAGCATCTCTGGAAGAAGCCCGCTTCCGTGAAAGTAGTCAAGACGGCACTCTTAGGCCGAGGCTCCTTGCCTTCAGCCCAGCGAGCAATCACTCTGTCAACCGCCTTGCCCACTTTGTTGATGCAATTTGTTATCCCACTTTTCCTTGTCTGAGGTGGGTTTACCACGAGGCACACGAGTGACAAAGGCGAAGGGTCTCCTGGAAAACAACGAACAAGAGCTCCGTTGACGCATCCAAGGAGAGCAGTCTGGAGAGCCATCCCATACGGAAACGGGTGCGCGCAAACTTGAGCGCTCAGTCGCGCGACCATGTCTCCGCCTGCTTCGCCAAACAACCCCCTCTCGTCGAAGTGACTGTCTATGTAGTCCCAGGCCTGGTGCATGGCAGCCGTTGCCATGCTGTGGCCAAGTCACCGGCGAAGGCCTTGCTTTTAGCCCTCAAGCGCGCTCCATGTCGCAGCCAAAATGGCAGCTGCAGCAAAACCGAACTTTGGAACTTTGTGGTTCCAAATAAAAGAGTCCACAGCAAAGGACTGTTGCTTTCCGGGTTTAGGCCTTAGGCAACTAGGTGAATAGGCCATCCATAAGGGAGGTCGGCCGGGACTGCGCACGCCACCCTTCAGAGCACCCCATACCTCACGCAACCCTACTACTAAACCCTAAACCCCAAATCGAAGACACATGCCCGAACTGCTTAACCCTGCTATAGGTTTCATTTCAGCCGTCTTGCTACCCTCGAAACGCGGAGACCCGCCTTCTCCAGCACTCCTGGAAGCCGCCACGCGAATCCGCCGTTTTGGCGCGGGGACAGCATCCGCGCCTGCAAAGGTATCGGTTGAACCACAGTCAATACACATACTATATGCAGAAGTTACGGTGTACGGTGTACTCTTATAATCTATGTGTGTGTGCGTGTGTGCGTGTGTGTTCTATGTGGCCTGCAGGCCCGAACGCCCTTCTCCGTCTTCGTGCCCTTCCAGGCGGCGTGAGCGGCGCCGCCTCTGCAGGCCGCTCCCCCACACGTGCCCGTCCTGCCGGCTCTGGTCCAGCAACAGTGTTGCGGGAATCTGCTACCTCCTGCAAGAAGAAATCCCGCACGTAGCGCGAACGGATGCAGCGCACGGCGTGTCGATGCCTGGACATGAGACTGTTGAGGACCTCTGCTGCAGACGTATTCAGATCTTGCACAAGCTGAGCGTTCTGCGGTGCGTCCGGATGGCACTCTCGGATACACCACGGGTCGCTATGACCCGTGGCGTGCATCCGGTCAAGTATATACCGAATCCGCGGGTGTCTTAGACGATTTGTCAATTCTGTCCGGTCACCATTCCTCTCCGAGAAACGCCGGAGATGACAACTGTCATCGTGGATCAGCACATTGATCTCACCAACAGCCTCCACCAATTCTCCTAGAAAAAAAAACCTGTGCGACAACGATTCTGCACCCACATACGGCTTCATGTGCAGAATGTGCCCGCATGGCGTCGTTGCGAAAAGAAACCCGTTACACCGCCCAGCTCTCCTCGACCAACAGAAAAACGCAGCAGCCCTATGTCTTTCAGTCTTGAACCTGGACACTCTTAAACAATCAAAGGAATTACACATGTGCTGCCCAGTTGCACTTGCGCTCTCGTGCCCTGCCGGACCTCTTTGTGGGTTTTGCAGCTGCTTGCAGCCAGATCTTCAGCTGCCGACTTTTCCGGAACGAAGCCAGAGGCTTCCAATTTTCGCCAGTACTCGTGTAGTTGCGTGGCTGTCACAAGGGACGCATTGACCCATCGGCCTGCCAAATTTGGAGCATCCTACACGGTTATTCGAGCCAACTGAGCCTGTGGATGACTGTCCATGCTTCCGTATTGTTCTGGCGGATGGCTGCTCGACGGAGCTGCGTTTCCGCACGGTGGCATCTTGTTAAAGTCAACGAACATTTTATATTTCATGTGAAATATTCCATATTCTACATGTTTCACGCCTCGTATCTTATATCTTATCTTATGTTTTGTGTCTCATATCTTATATCTTATGCCTGATCTTTATTCGTTTTCGAGCTTTTTTTGCAAGTTCAGAACATTCAAGGCGAGTGGCTCGGGAGAATCTGCTCGCTGTCACCGACGGCCCGAGTTTGCAGTTGCCAACCGGAACATTCCTGTTCCAGACATCGAGTCCATGGCGCACAGGGTGCTGCATTATTTTGCTGATCCGCATGCGGTGGTGGAGTTCACTGAGGAGGCCCAGGAACTCTTTGTGGCCTACGCGGCGTGTTTTTCAGCTGAGCAGAGTGTTTCCCAATCCTGTTAGCAGAATTTTTTTGCAATGTTGGTGTGGCGGGGTAAGCGCAGCTCTGCTTGAACACTTACTCGTCACTCCATAACACCTGCAGCTGAAACAGAGGTGCTTCGTGACAACGACGACGATTCGGCGGCGAGGAAGGGAACGGCCGCATGGCACCTCGGTGTGCTGGCAGCTGCCCAGTTAGTCTGGGACATCGCGACGGAGCAGGCTGCATGACAGGGATGAAAGTGAGTGTAACGTTAGATTGTTGGAGTACCTGTCGGCTGTTGGGGAGAGTTGGTGCAGGGGCCGGGTCTGCTGGGTTGGGTGCGAGGCAGACTCCAGACTGGTGGCAGAATCGAGGCTTCGCATCCAACCACATCACGTGCTTCGCGCGTATGACGCCCTCAGGTTGACTCATGACGTATTGGGCTTGTGCGTGAATGGCAGTGTGGTGGCGCCCGGTAGCGCAGAGCAGGCACTGTCACAAGCGGCAAGTGCTGCGCAGCAGCTGGAGTCAGCGCTGGAGCAGCAGCGGATCCCAGAAAGTCAGTTCGTGAAGTTCGAAGTTGCGCAGGAGTCGGCTGCAGAGGATGGCGAGCCAGGCCATGTCTTCAGCCAAAGCGACTCGCCGCCGCTAAGTGATGGCTACGGGCCTGGCGGCAGTTCGGTACAGGATCCAACGCAAGGGCCAAGTATTCTTTCAGATAGAGTGGCTTGATGACAACTTTTGTTTGCAACTCTCAGGGTTCACGTATAGCCCTAATCGTAGCAGTGTAAGGACTAAGTGTGGTCATAGGATATGCTTTGACGTCCGTTGACAGTGCAAGGCAGTAATGTTGCGTACGCTTCTTCGGGGAGAACCGGTTATTTTTGCTCGTCGCGTCGTGGATGCTTGCTCGAAGAAGACGACTGTTGACAACAAAACAGTTAGGACGTCGTTAAAGCTGGCGCACTGGCTCGCGGCCATCAACGCAGGCATGGAACAGCACTGCATCGGTGAGGTGCAGACGCTGGCTGACCGCAAGGGCCCACGGCTGGTGCTACACCTTCCCAAGTCCAATGATCGAGAAGCTGTGCGTGTGTATCACAACCGGCTGATGGCTTTGTGTGGCTTGAGTTTTGCAGCTTTTTCGAAGCGTTTGGTAGAAGTCGCATCCAAAGGAGGCGGCTCAGGCGCCCGGGTCGTGGCGGCCACTGCAGATGAGCAGGTGTCGGAAGAGGGTGTGTTGGCCGTGCGACCAAGAGCTGCCAACTCAACAGCGGCGCCAAAGGCGAGCGTTGTCGTGCGACCAAGAGCTGCTAAGTCAAGAGCGGCGCCGAAGGCGAGCATTGTTGCGAAGCAAGAGATAGTCTCACACGATGTTGGTTTGGCGACAACTTCCAAGGCCAGGGCTGCGCCTACAGCGCGCAGGGCTGCCAAGACGGCAGTAAAGAAAGAAGCCGTGGAGGAGGATGATGATGATTGCATCATAATCGAAGCATCTGTGCCAGCGTCGTCCGCTAGGGAGAAGACGCAGGACGCAGGGGACAGTCAGGGAAGCAAGCGCCGGAAGCTGAATGAACAGCTCGGCAATTGGCATTGCTAGGAGAGTCGAGCAAGATGGGGGGGGGGTTGAAAAGAGGATGGGCTGGGAAGTGGGGACGGAGAGAGAGACAGAGAGAGAGGTACCAACAATGAGGCTCACACAGATAATCACGTGTGTGCGTGGGTGTGTTGGAGAGGCATGGCCCGCTGAGACGTGCCACCTCCTCTGGCGCACGGCGCAGGCCAGTGCAGGTTCGTGGAGCAGGTTTTAGGGGTTTAGGGTTTAGGGGATAGGGTTAGTGTTTTCGAAAACGCATTTTTGTGAAAAATTGACGCAGGCTTGAAGCTTGGGATGATCTGAGACCCCTAAGCCCTCAAATCCGCGGCTCGGACCTTCGAAAACGTGTCATTATGGCTAAGCTGGGCTCCTCTGCGCAAAGCGCCTTAAACATCGAGACACGCTGCAAGCTTAAGCTTGAGATGATCTGAGACCCGCGTGGCCCCCTGTCCTTGTTGGACTAGCGAAGCGCTAAAGAAGAACTGACGCTCCAAGGCTGACTTGCAAGGCGCAAGCGGTGCGCCAAAGTCTTCAAGCACGCTGCCGAGACCCTATGGCCTGGATCTGGCGAGCAGTTCTTCAGCGCGTAGCCAAACACTATATGAAGCTCGTGACAGAGGGTTGCTTCGGTTACTCAGGAGTTTAGAAAGCCCCCAACGCACTCCTTTAGGAGAGTAATAGGTGGGCAGTTTCTCTCGCAGGAAGCTGAATATCTGAAACTCTACACCCTCAACTTGCTGAGTGAATCCTATATGAGGAGTAGGCTTCCCTAAAGCCTAAACCCCCATAAGATCTAAACGCGAAATCCTAAACCCTAAATCAGGCCTTAGGCTCGACTCTTAAAGCTCGGGGCGAGATTTCGGAGCTTTCCCACAAGAGTGCACGCCGTCCAGAAGATCTCAAAAGCTTCACGTCAGGAGCTTAAGGTTTAGAGGTGCAAGTTTCGGTTTGGGGCTTGAGGGCTTTCCGGCTTATGAGAGTTGAGGAAGTATGGCCCTAGTCTGGGTCATAACCCTTAACGACTTCGAGCTTGTGCTCCCCAAACCCTAAACCCTAAACCCCAAATCTTGAACCCTAAGCCTTAAACCCTAGACCCTAAACTGTAAACCCTAAACCCTAAACTCTAAACCCTAAACCCTAAACCCTAGCTTGTGCTCGTTGTAGAGAAAGAGGGAACACTGTATAGAGCACTGTGAGTCTGACGTCTTGAACTCGAAACTCTAGAGCTGAAACTTCAATTCCCTCATTCTCTTCGAAGTACGAAAAGAGAAGGCGAAGTTGCAAAATGTGTCACTCAGAGCTGTGGACTATTGCAATTGTGAAGATAAAGAGAGAGGATATGCGCGTCGTGATATAAGGTTAGATAAGGCGAGTTGTGTACAAGGCTTCACGCTTGCAAGGATTGACTGAAATCAGGGCCCGCAAGGCCCGTACGGCCCGTAAGGCCCGTAGAGCCCGCGTAGAGCCCGTAGAGCCCGTAGAGCCCGCAGAGCCCGTAGAGCCCGTAGAGCCCGTAGAGCCCGTAGAGCCCGCGTAGAGCCCGTAGAGCCCGCTTAGAGCCCGTAGAGCCCGCGTAGAGCCCGTAGAGCCCGCAGAGCCCGTAGAGCCCGTAGAGCCCGTACAGCCCGTAAGCAAGGCCCGCAGAGCCCGCAAGGCCCGCAAGCCCCTCAGGGCCTTAGGGCCGTAAAGCCCGTAGGGTCCCGCGCGGGCCCTGTCCTGCTTTAAGACCTTTCTCGGCTTAGGGTTTAGGGTTTGTCCTGGAATTGTCCTCTTGGTCCAACTTGGTCCACTAATGGTTCCTCAGGCACAGAACATCTTAGCGGCTGAGGCGGTGTTTCGGGCACTAGGCGCTCTGCAGTGTCAAAAGTTGAGCAAGGCCTGGTGGTTTATTCCTAATCCCCTAAACCCTAAACCCTAACCCCCAAACTTAACACCCCAAACAAACCCTAAACCCTATCCCCTAGACACCAGGACATACTTTGTGACGTCATTGGCGCTCTAAGGTATGCAAGGACGTGACATGGTCCCTGAATATAGTCCCTGGAGCCCTTGGGTTGCATGGTTTATGAGGGGTTTAGGGTTTGGGTTGCATAGGGTATATGAGGGGTTTAGGTTTTAGAGTTTAGGGTTTAGGGTTTAGGGTTCAGGGTTCAGGGTTTAAGGTTTAGGGTTTAGGGTTTAGGGAAGTTTAGTTTCCCGGCTAAGGGCAAAATTCAGGGACCATGTAACGACTCTAAGACTACCAAGACTACTGACTCCACTTGACAGAGGCATTGATCTTCTTACTTCGAGAGCCCTGAGCATGGTCTGCAAAACCGAGAGCGTGTTGGTTGTGGCTTAGGGTTTAGGGTTTAGGGTTTAGGGTTTAGGGTTTAGGGTTTAGGGTTTAGGGTTAGGGGTTAGGGGTTAGGGGTTTAGGGTTTAGGGTTTAGGGTTTAGAGTTTAGACCCAAAACCCTAAACCCTGGACCCTAAACCCTAAACCGTAAATCCTAAACCCTAGACCCTAGACCCTAAACCCTAAACCCTAAACCAACCATCCCAGAACGAAGTTGGGCTCTTGAGAAGATAAGCCATCACCGACCAAAGGTACATCCGAAAGCATTCGCACTTGGCCGGAGACAGTGTTCGGGAAGTAACGCGTGCTGCGGAAAGCAAAGCTGGCTGGGATGAACGTGTCCCGGCAATGAAAATCTCACTCTCTAACCTTAGAAACCCTAAGCCCTCAACCCTGTGTTGCTTACATGACCAGGAAGAAAGTATCGTGGCTCTTGACAAGACAAAGTTGACGGAGGACAGCGGAGTACTGCATCATGGTTTTGTCCTAGCCTCCAGCGGAGGAATTAATCCACCGGAATAAACGTATACTATTTTTATTGTTCCGGAGGAGGACCCGGCGCTCTTGAAGTGCAGGAGTCTAAGGGGGAGAGGGGGTCTTCTGCTGTCTTCTTGAGTTATGTTGTGAGTGCGACGAACTTTCGGCCTGCCATAGTAGTTTAGGGGTTGTATGGGTTTACGGGTCTGAGTGTTTAGGGGTTTAGGGCTCTACCCTTTATGTGACAGAGGTATGTTCCTCATGTACGGGGAACTGGGACTCATTGGGTCTGCTATTGCTTGGAGGTTCATGGTACTTAGTAACTAACTATAACTGTACTTAGAGCCCACTTATAAGCCCCTCAAGTGCCCTAATACGGTTCTAAGTACAGTTACAAGTGCAGTTATAATTAATTACAAAGTACCATGAACCTACAAGTGTTAGCCAAAACTGCAGGGTCGGATGGTCCTTCTCAAGGCTCAGGGCTTTGTTGGGTTTAGGGTTTAGGGTTTAGGGTCTAGGGCTTAGGGTTTAGGGTTTAGGGTTTCGGGTTTAGGGTTTAGGGTTTAGGGTTTAGGGTTTAGGGTTTAGGGTTCACTTGGCGTCACTGTGGAGTGAAGGGTCTGCTCCAGGTGTGAACTTTCGCAAAGAGGTTAATGAGAAGCTTTTCTGTTTTCCTTGCTCTCGTAAGTTTATTTCGCAAGCAATGTTCCCATCCCCTGATATATGAATATGAACTTGAAGATGTATGGTGACACATGCTCATCCAAATTTCTCTCACGACAAACGAGCGACAGTTGCTGGGACAGCTCGCAAGAACTGGCCCTTCTGATGCCTTATCATCCGGCCTGCCCCCAAAAACATCAACATCTATGAATAATTTGCTAGGGTTAGGGTTTAGGGTTTGTCAAGGGACGAAAGGAGGGATTGGGCGTTATTTGGGGGCTATAGAGGGGTTATATAGGGGGATAAGATCAAGAATAAGAGTAAGGAGTGTCCCTTCTAGGGGTCCCTCCTTATTCCTCTTAAGTTTCTTAGTAGCTGAGTGAGCACACTTTACAGTTTGCTATAATCCCCTATAGAACTAAAAGTGTACATTTTTGGGGGGGCTTATGAACTCAGCAATTTACGAACCCAGGCAAAAATGCACAAAAACACTGTGAAACCAGATACTGAGCCTTCTCAGTTGCAAGCCCTTAGCCCTTAAACCAAGAACCAATTCTAACACAGTTTAGGCCATAGCCCCTGGAACCGAGAACCAATATGCCCCTCTCACATGATAACAATGTGAATACGGCAGGTCTTTAGGGCGGGAGGGTGGCACATAAATACAGCCTGTACTAAACCCCATAATCCCTTCCCCCTTTTATTAAATGCAACCCTAATACTAAACACACTTTCCGGAAAATCCTGCCGAAACCAACCCCGCCTTTAAAACCCAATTCCGAATTAGGGGGGGGGGGGGGGTTCAGGCGTCCAAGAAATCCTTCAACACCAATAAAACTCTTAGAGGGTTTAGGGTTGGGGTCTAGGCTCTCTCTCTCTCTCTATCTTTCTCTTTCTCTCTTTCAGTTTACAACACATACCTAAGTTGATTACTTGAGTAACCCTGAAGTCTAATGAAGTATGACATTTCGATAAAAACACCCCCTAATTATAAAACAGGTTTCGAATTTTTAAAGGGGGGGGAGCCCCCCCGTTTAATATCAGGGGGAAGGGATTACCCTAAACCAAACACTAAAACCCTCAAAGCCTAAACCCTAAAACCCTAAACCCCTAAACCCTAAAGCCCTAGCCCTACCCCTAAACCCTAAAACCCCAAACCCTAAAACCCTAAACCCTAGGCCCTGAACCTTACGCCGTGTGGAACAATTGCATCGCCAAGGCATTGCACACGGCCGTGTTCTGGCAACTTGACTTACTTGGCCAATAGTTGAACTTTCAACTGGTTGGGTTTCCTTAGGGTTCAGGGTTTAGGGTTTAGGATTCAGGGCTTAGGGTTTAGGGTTTAGGGTTTAGGGTTTAGGGTTCAGGGTTTAGGGTTTCGGGTTTAGGGTTCTCTGCGGTGTAGATGCGGTTTAGGCTTTAAGGCTTCAGGGTATGAGGGCGCTAGGGTCCCTGCGCGAGGTTGGGGTTCATGACGTCTTCAAGCGGGGCTTTGAACATGGATTTCTGCAGCCCGGCAGCTTTTCCTTGGTCATCTTTGACGAGTGCCACCACGCGATCAAGGGCCACCCCTACGTGGGCATCGTCCAGGACCGCCGCCCGGTGTCGATCATGTGAAGTCTGCCCAGGTTCGGGTCTGCCTTAAGAAACGAAAAAACCCAAATATCTTGGAGGTCCCTAGACTACAAGCCCCCTTACTGTGGGATTCTTAGGCAGCCTACGAAAAAAGTAGGACCTGTGGGTTCTTAGGGTAGGGTTTTGGGTCCCGCAACCCCTAAACCCCTGAGTATTTCCCTGAGTTCAAAGTAGAAATCAGCAGGGTTTAGGGTTTAGGGTTTAGGGTTGAGGGAAAACTTCAGCAGGTACTTATGGGTACCGGGGACTGGGGACCCATGATACTCCGGGCGTAGAGATGTTTGAGGAGGCTTTGGGTTTTGGGCTTAGGGTTTAGGGTTTAGGGTTTAGGGTTTAGGGTTTAGGGTTTAGGGTTTAGGGTTTAGGGAAAACTTCAGGATACCTGGTCTTTTCGAGCTTCTCCCAAGGATTGAAGGGGGCTCGGCAACCGCCTCGCATATGTGGGCTGACTGCTTCCTATTGCCATGGCAAGGCGGTGCCTTTGATGCTCTTGAGACTTCTTCTTCGTAGTTAGGGCTTAGGGTTTAGGGTTTAGTGTTTAGGGTTTAGGGTTTGGGGTTTAGGGTTTAGGGTTTAGGGTTTGGGGTTTAGGGTTTGTGGTTTGGGGTTACTAGGGTTTAGGGTTCAGGGTTTAGTTGGGCTTAGTTGGGTTTAGTAGGGTTTAGTAGGGTTAGTGTTTAGGGTTCAGGGTTCAGGGTTTAGGGTTTAGGGTTTCGGGAGGTGCATAGAGAAGAGTTGCCTGCGGGGGTTCTGGTCGATCATGGCCAGGCAGTAAGCAGGTATCTACACCCTTAGCCACCCTAAACCCTAAACCCTAAACCCCTAAACCCCTAAACCCTGCAACCCCTAAGTCGCCACCTTGTGTGCAAGAAGCCTGCCCGCAAAGCGGCCTCTTCATATGACGCGGGAACCAAAAGGGCCCTCTTCTTCTGGAACCTTCTGAAGCAGCGCATCATGTTTAGGGTTTAGGGTTTAGGGTTTAGGGTTTAGGGTTTAGGGTTTAGGGTTTATATTCCTACTCTCTTCCCCGAGCCTCGGAGCGGATTGTCAACCTGGCGAAGGCGCTGCGCCCGGAGTTACGACCAGGACAGTCTGGTGGGCGTGGTGCACCTGCTACAGACCGACAAGTTCCTGAAGTTGGGGTCCAGCAGCCTGCGCATGAACATGGACGCGGGACGCGATTCGCCGCTTCCGAAGCAGCCCGCTCATGCGCCGATTCGAAAAGTACGTCACCCAGTACTTGCGGGCCGTGGATGCGCGGCGCACACCTCCCACTGCTTTCCACCGCTCGCAGCCCAAGCCATTCGTCTCGTAGGGTTCTTTAAAGACCTCCCCTCCAAAATCCTGAAAAGTACTTCGCAGAGTACCCATAAAGTCTCTAAGAGAGAGAGAGAGAGAGAGAGAGAGAGATTAGCCGCATTAGCCTGTGCTTTATAGCAGGATTAGAACCCAGATACACATACCTTACGCGCGCGACACACTCGAATAATTTACCCTAAACCCTGGACCCTGAACCCTTATAAACCCTGAACCTTGAACCCTGAACCCCTGAACCCTAGGCCCCTGACCCCTAAACCCCACAAACACTGCACCCTCACGGCTCGTCAACACATCCGAACCGACCCATGCCTTTCGGGGGCTCGGAGATTTTCGCGGCTTTCCTAAACCTGAGTTGCTCCAAAGGGGTTTAGGGCTTAGCTTCCTCAGCGGTCTCTTAACGCGTGGGTTAGGCCATGTGCGTATGGGGTTTGGGGTTGCGTTTAGGGCTTAGACTCCCAAAGCCTTTACACGGCTAACCGGCTAACCTAGCACCCTTCTGCCTTTCTTTTGTTCAGGGTTTGGACGATTTCTTTGAGCCAAAAAGGCCCCCAAGTCTTTTGTGCTGCGGATTTTTGGGGCACCCCAAACCCTGAAATCCTAAACCCTAAAATGCTAAACGCTGTAAGCCCTGAAGTCCTATATAGACCCTGAGCCTCTAAAATCCTAGAATCCCCAACCCAAAGTTCCCTCAGCCCTACACCCTCATCTCCTAAATTCCTAAACTCTAAGTCCCTAAACCCTTATAAACCCTAAACCCCCCTAAACCCTAGCCCTAAACCCCAAACCCCAAACCCCAAAACCTAAACCCTAAACCCTCAACCCTTAACCCGATCCTAAACATCCCAGGATCCTCAACCCAAGAGCAAGACCAGGAACTGCGGAAGGCACGGCAGCGCTTGGAGTCCATCTTGGGTGCCCAGATCTTCGCACCGGATGCCACTTTGGTGCCTAAGGCTCTTGCGGTTTAGGGTTTAGGGTTTAGGGTTTAGGGTTTAGGGTTTAGGGTTTAGGGTTTAGGGTTTAGGGTTTAGGGTTTAGGGTTTAAAGGTTTAGGGTTTAGGGTTTAGGGTTTAGGGTTTAGGGTCTGAAGCCCTAACCTCTGAAACCCTCAAACCCTAAAGCCTGAACCCTAAACCCTTTTCTATATTTCTCGGGGTCTCCATGTTTCATGGCCTAGCCCTACGAGTTCTATACCCCGAAGCCCTAAACCCTAAACCCTAAACCCTAAGCCTCAGCATTTCAGGGGCCAGGACGCATGTCCGGTGAGGACCTCGAGTCTCGAGCCAGGTCTTAGGGTTTAGGGTTTAGGGTTTAGGGCTTAGGGCTTAGGGCTTAGGGTTTAGGGTTTAGGGTTTAGGGTTTAGGGTTTACGGCTAGGGTTTAGGGCTTAGGGCCACATGAGGCCTAAGAAGACGCCTCAGGCCCTCAACCTTCTCAGAGCCTCACCTTTCAGCTGCACCCCAAGGTGTCTGGAGAGGAGGAGGGCAAGGAGAGGAGCTCCTTGGCCACATTCACTCAGGGTTTAGGGTTTAGGGTTTGGGGTTTGGGGTTTAGGGCTTAGGATTCATTCATGCATTCATTCACTCATTCACTCATTCGCTCATTCATTCATTCATTCATTCATTCATTCATTCATTCATTCATTCATTCATTCATTCATTCATTCATTCATTCATTCGCTCCCCAAGGCCGTCCTCCAGCCTGCCCCACGAGGAGGCGCTCGGCGCCGTGACCAGGCAGCCCGCTTCACCCAGCGTTGCTGTTCCAGATGGTTGGAAGGAGAACGCGAGGAGCTTTGGCACGCTGCCCCTGCTCGGCGGCGCAGGGAATCCCTTGAATTGACGAGGAGGATGCGGCTTCGGCTCTTGCCCGCAGGCATGCTCGTTGTGTTGCTCTTGCAGGTGAGGACCCGCGAGCCTCTCCAGCCCGTCCCAGTTTGCAATCTTTGGGAGCCCCGTCCAAGGTGGATGTGCCAGAAATCTCTTTAGAAACTGTGGTAAGGCAGCCCCGGGGCTTCAAGCGCAGCAGCGCCCCTGGCCCGACTGGTCTTCGAGGGGATCACATCCGCGAGGCCTTGTCCTCGGTCCACTCCGACGAGGTTGCGGCGCACCTCACCGAAGTGGTCCGTCTCCTCGCACGGGGAGAGGCCCCCCTTGCACTCGCTCCCCACCTTGCAGGAGCCACCCTTCACGCTCTTCCCAAAGGGGCCGGTGACCTTCGGCCCATCGCTGTCGGCGAAACCTGGCGCCGCCTTGTTGGCAAGTGTCTCTGCAGCACATTGCGTGAGCCAGCCGCCCAACACCTTTGGCCGCTCCAGGTTGGTGTGGCTGTGCCAGGCAGTGGATGCCGCGCAACACTGGTCGTGTCGACAAGTGCTTTCTGCAGGTTGATTTCCGCAATGCCTTCAACACTGTTGATCGTGCTGCGATGCTTCTGCAGGTCCGCCTGCATATGCGGGGTCTCTCGCCATGGGCGGAGTGTTGCTACGACCACCATTCCCGGCTTCTCTTCCACCACTCCCCCCTCTCCTCGGAAGCTGGAGTCCAACAATACAACCCACTCGGCCCTCTCTTGTTTGCGCTGGCCTTGCACCCGGCTCTCCAGGCCGCTGCGGCCGGCGGGCCTGAACTTGCCTTTGCTTTCCTGGATGACAGTTACCTTACTGGCGGGTCCAAGCAGGTCGCTGCAGGCCTGGCCCGCCTTACCGCCGCCAGCCGCCAGGTTGGCCTCAAGCTCAACCCTAGCAACCAGCACGGCAGATTCGACATCATATATAGAAACGAATCGCTGTATAGCGACGAATGCCGTTATAGCGACAATTTATAACAACGATTGTCGTTATGACGCCGATTCCCGCAGTAAGAAACTTGACCAAAAACTCATATACACTTTAACGCAGTCACAGTTTCCGAGTTTATAGGGTTTAAATGGGCAGCGAAATTTTCAAGCCCAGGCAACCTGAAAAGAAACTGATTGCAACGGTTTCCCTTTTCGCTTCGAGCTCGATCAACGGTACCGGAGTGAGACCTGCAGGGCATACTTCAGAAGTACATGTCTACTCACATACAAGGGGTGGCTGCTCACGGCCAAAATTTTGGCGCGCCTCACAGCATCTTCCCCCATGTAGTTTGCATCGTGCCGCGGATTGGTGCGCAAGACGCAAGCAAAATCTAGCACCAGATGTTCGAGCTGGTGTTGCTTTGGGCGCGCCGTCCATCGAGTGCTGCCCAAAGACAAACTACGGCTGGCAAGCCGATCAAAGCATGCCCTGTAAAGGTAGTAGGCTTGCTGCAGTTTTGCGCAGGCATCGTCACCGAGGTACCGGCCATTAAGAAGCTGCACAGATTCCATTTCGGCAAGGCCAGTGCAAACACCTCGCATCCACCTCAGCTAGATCGCAGGCAATTCTGCCAAACCTCCCGACGACAGTTTTCACTTAAGGCGTTTTTCTTTTGGATGGGTTTAAGGGCTTATATATATGAATAAGTTTAGGGTTAAGGGTTCTAGACCCTGTACGTTAAACCCTATACAGCCCTGCAAACCCTAGATACACCATAAACCCTAACAAGATATATAGCCCAGGCACAGAAGATAATCTTCAGGCTCAACCATGTCTGCCAGAAGAGTATCCATGAGGTACTGCAACCAAAAAACTACATGCCGCGACGCGGCAGCACGCATGTACTTCTGGGAAAGCGTGGCATAATCCAATCGGAGAGCTTCGTTGGTGAAGACTTTCCTTTCACAACGATCAGCAATATTCCACCATTGGCAGTAGTCCTTGTAACTGTACCACGCACATTCGAGCCGCGCATCTCGAGAATTCCCTGGCCATGGCCAGCATGTGTCGGACAGTTCGCCCAGAAGAGATGTCAGCACATCAGCTGTGCAAGCAAGATGCACGACATGCATGTAATCCGGCAGAATTCCTGAATTATGTTTAGGTTACACTTCGATGGTTATAGTACTGCAGGGGATCGATCATTCTATATACATTGGGACAAGTTTAGGGTTTAGGGTTTAGGGCTTATTAGGGCTAAGGGTTTATAAGGGCTTTAAAAAGTCAGTCCAAGGTACTCCAAGGGACATATCCACGTGGGACACAAGCGAAAGGACTGGGCCCATGGACTGCAAAAAACTCAGACTCCGAGGTTAACCTTCGAGACATAGTGTTGTCATGTGTAGACTGCGATCGCCATGCGTGCGCGACCGCTGCGATTGCGGACGAGCTGCGTTTGGCGGTGTTTAGCCCCCTGGCCAAAGCATGTGTGCAGGAGTTCCACATCGTTGGGTTCAGGGTCGCCCGGAGCAGGATGCAATAGGACCCATTGCAGTGCCTCGGCAACTTAAATTAACCGAAGCGACCGTGACTCGCACACACACACACACACACCCACACAATGTCATCTAGATGCAATTCATGGTACCTGGCAGTAGTGGCACACCATCTTCCTGGTGTAGTTGCCTAGCGCAGACAAATTAAGGAAGAATTTCTTAGGATTTCGAGCCTTCAAGTTCACGATTCTCTATGTTCTTATATACACCTCTTGGGACCCTGCGCTGCAAACGAAAACACTTGGAGATGAACTCCTGGTCCATCTGGAAAGCATCCAGGATAACAGTGTATGGCCCACAGATCCTTTCTCCAGCAAGCAATCGTCTCGCACCCTGCAATGGCTGCCCATGCACATCCAGATGAGGGTAGACTCCCGTGCCTTAAAAGGCATCGCCGCCCATTTTTTGTTTAATGCACGTAAACGAAAACACGCCCAAGGTGCTAAGTATGTTCAGCGACCACGCCAGCTCTTCCATTATCATTGTTCTTGCTCTCCCGGAGCATTTTCCAGACATGCAGCTCAGCCTCACTGGAATGAATTCGTGCCCTTTCTAAAATATTTCCGAATTTAAGTCGTTGGAATATGACTGCCAGGGATCAAATACCTGGTGTCCAAGCAAGAAGTAGAATCTCCCAGCATCGACTGCAGCAGAAATATCTCAAATGTTTGCGAGCCTTAATAGCGCAATCAATACGAGAGCACCCAGGGGACATGGAGCTTAAGTGCACTCATCCACATATCTGCAGGCAAGTCTCGATATGACTCAGCCCCATCACCGTAAATTCTGACAGGTACCACCATTCCAGTGACAGCTTCTCCAAGTGCCTGGGTTCTTGCAATGGGCAGCGGGTTCTTAAGCTTGGGGGCGGCTTTGTGTAGGACAATTTAGGTGGGTTCAGGCCTTCATAGGCAAAAACATAATACGGGCAGTTCAGGACTCCAGGGCAGTCTATATGTTCAGAATTTGCAAGACTTGGGGCGCTTTAGGGTTCAAGGTTGTGGCAGTTTAGGGGATATAGGGTTTATAGGGTTTGTTTAAGGCTTAAGGCTGCACGAAGGCTGTTCAGGAATGTTGGTCGACACCAGTACGTCGTTTGCTAGCAAGGTGCAGGGTGCTGAGACCACCATTCCCAGGCATAAGTACGCATGTGCGTACAATATCGTTGAATTGCCTTGAAAAACAACACGGGTTCAGGATACGCTTCGGGAACTGAGCACAGCTGGCTTATAGAGTGCAGGTGTGGTTGCATCTGGCTGCCCAAAGAGCGAGTGAAATAGGCCTGAATCAAACCTCCAGATCGAGCCAATGATTTCATGCGGGTAGAACAGGTCATGCTTGGTCCATCCACGATCTATCTCCCCACGCGAATCCAGATTGACCTTAAGGGTCGATGCATGCGCTACACTGGTTGCAGGAATTCACGGCAGTAAGAGGCTGACATATGGTAGCCAAATCCTCTGTGGAAATGGAAGGACTTGTCCTCAGCATTCTTAGCACATGGAGACCATATATAGACCCTTTGGGGTTGATAGGGTTAGTTTAGGGTCTATATAGGCTTTATGAAACGGGTTCAGGGTTTAGGATAGAGCATATAAGAATTACTTATGCTTAGGCCCCCAACCCAAACTTAGTATAAGGTTGCGGCTTGGGGTTGCAAGATTAATCAGGGATGCCTGGAATCTCGGAGTATGAAGCCTAATTTGTGGACTCAAACATCCCCGAACGTTCAGCCCGCAAACCACAAGGCTTCGCGGTTTAAGCCCTGAACCCTCCCCCCTTCCCCCCCAAAAAAAGAACCAACAAAAGAACACGCGGTCGAAACAGGAGAACCTGGTGATCGGATGATCCGCTGGCGCTTTCGCAAACCGCCGAGCATCGACCCTCCACTGCAAGCACAAATGCCCTAAATCCGCTTTAACAGCCCCAACCTTTGTGCGAGCACGAGACTTGGAAACCCTAAGCCCGGCATAAGTTTATAAGAGCCCAAACAGTCAAAGGCGCGTCAAAGAAACCGCGGAGACGACGGGAGACGCAGGGAGACAAAGGGAGGCGAGAAGCACAGCAACCCGGCGAAGCCACCCACATGAAGGGAGACAAATGACAAAGGGAGACGACATGAGACAGAGGGAGACAAGGAGCCCAGGAACCCGGCAACAGTCCTCAGAATGTCGGCAATCCTTAAATGAGTTTTGAACCCCAACAGTAGACCGTTTGGTGCAAAACCCTAACAACCCCCAAACCCACTAATAACGGTATAAAGTGCAGATTGAGATTCGCCAAGGCTGTCGGTAGGACCACTCTTCCAGAACTTGCATCGAACCGAATGCATCCTTTCTTTTGTACATTCTTCGTGCCAAATCCAAAAGATCGGGCCTGAGAATTGGAACCCACGGAACCCACGCAAGAATTAGGCTTTGGCAAACACATCCACTTCAACCCAGCCCAGGCACGGAACGAGCATCTCTGGAAGATCCAAGAGACGAACTTGGTTCACACAGGCCAGCAAAATGTGCTCAGCACCACATGACATGGTTGAGGTCTGTAAGGCCCAAGCACAGTGAGTGTTGAAATTTGGCCACCGAGACCTCCAGTCTTGCAAGTGTCTGCGTGCACTCTGGTGTCGCATTTCTATAGTGCATCCCAGCCACATCGCCACGCGATATGCATTCCAAAATGTCTTGGACAGTTTGGTCTATGTAATCTGTGATCCATTGCCCATCCGCCATTGAAAGGCAAAAGCGACGTCATCAGCGGAAGCTCGGATGTTTATATTAGGGTTTCCAGGGTTTATAGGGTACCTCTAGCCCTACCCCAAACCCTAAACCCTTAACCCCTAACCCTAAACCCTAAACCCTAAACCCTAAACCCTAAACCCTAACTCTAAACCCTTATAAGCCCCAAATATTGGGTTTAGGGCAAATATATTTGGGATGGAGATTGCAGTAGGGTTTTAACGTCGGAGGATAGGAGTTCTGGAGGGGGTTTAGCGTTGCAAGCAGATCGCGCAGGTTGTTCTCTTTAGGGAATCTTGAAACTTCCGGCCCGGTTCGGTATCTGGAGCCTGCAATTATAGTTCACGCAAACAAATGATCCATGGCAGGGCTGATGCATTGCAGCCATCTAGGCATCGCCTTTTCAACTTTCACCCTCTTTGATGCTTCCCCGACGTGCTGACACGGTGACACTCGGATCTACAGACTGCACTCTATAGCAGGTCCTATGCACAAATGAAAGGCTTCTGATGCACGGTGCTCTGTACTTATGTCTAAGGCCCATCATTGTGCCACCTGCTCCCTGCAGTCACCATTCAAAACCCACTATTTAAAGCACATGTGCGCGCTGCACACCTGATAGACTAGACATTGCGCGGCTTCTTGGCTGGGGGTCCCGAGGTTTCATCGTCATCTTCCGTCGGCCATGCTTCTTCATCCTCGTCCTCGGCACCATCCTCCTCCTCCTGATCCTCGGCCTCGCCTGCCTCTTTGGCAGCTTTCTCCTCTTGCTTCTTGGTTTCCTTTTCTCTCTTGCGCTTCTCTGCTGCAATGCCTTGATCTATAATTGCGCAGGCTTGGTTTTAATTTTCTTCTGCGCGCGATGGGCTGAACACACGTTAAAGTTATGTGCCAAGAAACGCCGCTCATGGGCCGCCAGGCCTCCTTCAGCAGCTGTCACATCTAGCTGATAGTCCTGCATAGTTGCAACGCACGATCATCGCTCTGGTGGCATGGAGGGGGGAAGGTGCTGACATATGCCCGAATAATATCCTGCAACGTCGTTCTGTACCACTCCAAGTGGGTCCGGGCTTCGTCCAGCGGCCTTTCAGAGAAGAGAATCTCTTTGCACCTCAAGTGAAATCAGCACGCGTGCCACAGACTGCGTAGGCTTTAGGGTTCAGGGTTCAGGGTTTAGGGTTTATAGGGTTTAGGGTTTAGGGTTTAGGGATAAAACCCCAAAAAACTGGTTGCCTGAAAATAAGTAAGCCAAGCGTCTCTTTCAAGATCTCATAGCATCTGTCGTGCACTTCCCCCAGGTGGATAACAGTCCCCTGCAGCAGCTTGCGCTCACAACCCCTTAGCCTTATAAGAAACCTTGAATGTTGCACTCGGTTGTTCTACCTTATATTCTGCAAGCTCAGGAACCTCAGAGATCGAGCCAACCCCGGAGAATCCACGCAGCTGGCCAGTTCCATCTAGACCTTTTCTGCCTGACGATTTCTGGAGAACCTGACCGTTTCCACTTACCTCCTACCCCCTACCACCTACCCCCATTTCAACCCCCCTCCCCCAGACCCTACCCCCTACCCCTCCCCCCCCAAAACTCCAGCCTCTTGGCGCCGGAGGGTGGATGCCTTCAAGTCGGTGGCGACCGACATGGCCTTGTCCCCCAGACTGCGAAGCCTGCAGATGTGTGGGTTGATTGAGGGCTTACAAGGGGCTTTAGGTTAGTGAGCTTATAGGGGGTCTCAAGGTTTTTTTTGCTTTGTCAGAGGCTTGTAAGTGGGCTTATCGAGAGTTCGGTGGGGCTTATGGGGTTTCGGGGATCCATATACCCGGGGGCTTAGAAGGTGTTTAAGG